CTTTTTTTTTTATTTTTTTTTTTTTTTTTTTTTTTTTTTTTTTTTTTTTTTTGGTACCAGCAGTTGAACTCAGGATATTGCACTTGCAAGGCAGGCGGTGGAACCACTGAGCTAAATCCCTGGCCTTTTTTTTTGGTACTGGGGATTGAACTTGGGACCTTTTGCTTATGAGGCAGGTGGCAGAACCACTTAGCTAAGTCCCTGGCTACACTGATTTATAGAGTACAATAGGTTGAATAATTAACAGTAATTAAAAATTATTTATTATGGTTCTCTAACAAAACGAAAGATATTTAGGTTTCAAATGACTGCGCAGTGTCTAAATAACTTTCTTACATGTGAGCTAGAAAAAAGAGGAGCCACATCCACACAGTCTGATTTTTCCCTGAGAATTTGGAATATAGGAGCAGTTGTTTCAAGAAAGCAATTCTGGCTCAGTCCTGGTTTTCAAGAGTTAAACAGAGGACTTCCAAAAGACAGACAAAAACAAAACTGGGGTCACATGGGTTTTCTGAAACGTTTTGTATATAAGGGTATGAAAAAAAAAGACCCACTTCCTGAAAAATATCTTCAAAGTCTCACTTGACATTTTGCCATTTACTAGGATATAAATATTTATTATCTGGTGATCTTCAAAGGCAGCTTTCCCTCTGATATTAGAACATTGGCTCTGAAATCTCTCCCACCCTTTGTACAGTCTTACCCCCCGCCCCAAAAAAAGCTACTTGGAAAATTAAAGGTGAGTCCTAGCTGGATTATTAACAAGACTCTCCCAGTAGATGTTAGAAGTCTTATGCCTTTCTTAAGATAACTAATCACACCTTACTTACACATTTTCTTCCTCACAGTATGAGGAAGAATCCTGAAAGAGCAGAGCATGCTTTCAGAACTTGTCCTCATGACAAAATGGGATCTCCAAGGTTCCACTAGAATTTCATTGGTTCAAGGGCAAAGCCCGGACTTGCTGGCAATTATGACACATTGATATCTTGGCGGGTTCCATTTTAAAAATATATGTTGCTATTCCTCTGAACCGAGCTAATTTACCACCGCAGAGATTAGTACCTGGAGAAATGTTTAGTTCCTCATGGGGTATGTTTGTCAAAGCAAAATAAAGAGATGATAATTTACCTCCGAATGTTGCGATAGCTTCCACTGCCCCGTTATAGATGGAAGAATCTTGGGATGGTGCTTTGTAATCCCATAGGATTTGAATATAATTCAAAACTTGATTAAAACCTGCCGTGGAAAAAGCCCACCACAGAGACCAGTAAAAAAGACGCTTAGAGGAGTAGCACTCCTTCAGGTCTTGGAACCACTGCACAAAATTCTTCAAAACCACATTTTCAGTCTTTTGGGTGCCCAGGTGGCTGCATTCTGGCTCCCTGGAAATACTGGAGGATTTCTGCTGAACCGTTTCAGGATCCTCCCGAGCCTCCCCAAGGTCCGCATCCGTTCCCGGTGGTTTTGGACGAACTTCTTTGCTGGGTTTTGCATGGAAAAACATACTCTTTTTAGGCATTGGTAGAAAGAGTGAGAAAAGGAAGGCCACAGAGACAGAGATCAAGGACATGACGTTGAGGTAGAAGTAAGACAGGTTCGCCAAGGATACCAAGAGTTGGGCCAGCACCGAGGCCGCAGTGTAGGCCACCAGCGTGACGCTCCGACAGTAGCCGCTCACCCTCTGGTAGTGCTCAGGGCGGACCACGCTGTATATGTAGGCGTAGTAGGCCACCTCGGTGGCCGAGACCATCCCGAAGGTGAACTCGACAGCCTGCATGGCTCTGACTCCTCGGCCGAACAAGAGCAGCAGCCAGGTCACGATGAAGCTGGTGCCTTGCAGGACGATGACCGGCTTGTAGCGGACGTAGTCGGTGAGGACGAACACAGGGAGCAGCAGCGCCAGGTAGGAGTACGTCCACACTGGAAGGATCTCGTTCGTGATCTGTGAGGGTGACCCGGAAGCAGCAGCGCATCAGGGACGGACGAGTGGCTTAGACCGCAATCTCTGTTTATCAGATTATTTCCATGTAAGGGAAAACGCGCGAGAAAGCTGATTCTCTAGGAAATCATTAAGAGAATCCTCTTTCTTACCGGGGGTCCAAAAAACAAAACAAAACAAAAAAAAACCAAAACAAAAAGCAAACACCCATCCCACTCCCCAGAAAGAAAAAAAAGAAACAAGAAAAGAAATTCAAACAATGTATGTACTTGGTTGCATCCCAGTAGGAGGACATATTGGAACAAACATGCAGTATGAATTATATTTTCGGTTCAGATAGTTTGTACATCGGAATAAAAGTAAGTTTCATTAAAAACTTTTCAGGCACTTGTGGATTTCCCAGGTTCCTGAAAACCACCATTTCCTTTTTGTTCAAAGAGCACTAATATCATGTAAAGAGAATCCGGGCGTGGTGGCGCACGCCTGTAATCCCAGCACTCAGGAGCTGAGGCAGGAGGATCGCTGTGAGTTCGAGGCCAGCCTGGGCTACATAGTGAGTTCCAGGTCAGTCTCAACTACATAGTGAGACCCTGTCTCAAAAAACCAAAACAAACAAACAAACAAAAAAAAGAGATTACACCATTCAATGATAGGGCCTTCCAGAGACGGAGGCAGAGCTGAGAGGGTAAGCTGTTCAAATGCACTGAGACCCCTAGAGAAACATAGCCAGATGCTGCTTGATAAAGGGGATACTCTCTGCCAGGGCAAACAGGTCACCGGGCCACTTTCTTCATCATCAAACCTCAGAGTGCACTTGCACACACGGGATGGTACAGCTTGCTCTACCCCGAGGGTATTGGTCATATATAAGGGCGTTATGCCCAGGACCACGGAGAACAGAGCATCAGAGGTTACATGAAGCACAAGAGAAAATCATGTTCTCAAGAGATATGGTAAAGGTAAGACCAGTGAAAACACAAGATGCATGAGTTTGCTGTTGTACAGTGTGCACTGTCCCACAGTAAATTTTTAAAAAATAAGTAGGAAGAGTATGCTCTATGACAGTGATAAAACGTATGGAACATGGAGCATATAAACCAATAACATTCCTTTGTTATCAGCAGCAGATATGCCCTACACAATGGTCTATCAGTAGCAGTGCAGTTTTGTTTATAGGGGCATCAGGACAATGGTGTACACAATGCACTGTACTGTGATTCAAGTTGGCTACGATGCCACTGGGTGATAGGAATTTCTCAGCTCCCTTATAATCTCATGGAGCCACCATTGCCACATACGTGGTCCGTCACTGACTGTAGTGGCATCACTATTATATTCCTTTATTAGATGCTATTCAGCATCTGAGATCACCAGCTTATTAGATCAGATTCAATGGCTGACATCAATTTTATTTCAGGCTAAGTATTATAGAAGCAATGCAGACCTGAAAGGTTCCTATGCATTAGGAGTAATATTAGGATTCTATAAAAGTTAAAGTATTTATTGAATATTTAGTATGGTTTGGTTTCCCATATTTGCAAGTGTAGGGAGGAAAGAGTAGTTCTGTTATGAGACAACTACTATGAAAATTGGACTCATTACAGTCAAATGAAGCCCTATATCCTCATTCAAATGCTGTATAAAAACAGCACATTAATTTATGAAGTTGTATTAACTTACCTCTGTGCTGGTCAGGTTTTTATCTGGTTCAGATAAATATGGGATAAGGAATGGTTCTGATGGTCTCATCATGGAGAAAAATCCATATAAGCAAAGGATCACCGTGGGAAAAATCCAGGAGTTGCTTGGTGAAGTTCTAGAACAATCCATAGCTAATCAAATGGAAATAAAGCAAAAATTAAATGACATTTACTCTTTGTGGTATCGTGGATATAATGAAAAACAAATTATTGCTTTTTTTTTTTTTTTTTTGCTGGGGATTGAATCCAGGCCCTTGAGTACTCTATCCAGGTGCTCTACAACTGATCAGTAATCTAAGCCCCTACAGATGTTTTAAGAAAAGATAAAATTTCATTCATTTGCAACTGAGACAGAAGAGCAAGTGATGAGAAACTGCTCTCCAATACTCCTTAGGGCGGTGGACTTCTTTTTCATCATCGTTGCAGGAAAACTCATTCAGATTTCTTCAGTGTTCTTCATCACAAATGTGGTTGTGTGTAGCTAATAATGATCAAGGATGAGCCAGAGCATGCTAAACTCAAGTAAATATTAGCTAGGGCATCACTGGTGTACATGTGGTAGACAAGTACTGCCAAGAGAACACAGATTTAATTAAATCAGATCTTTTACTCTCTGCCCACTCCATTCTACACCAATCTGGAAACTCTTATGTAACATTTGTTTATTTATAAATTCACCTCCTCATTAGACTGTCCTTTGCCTAGCATTTTGCTGGTCATACAGTAGACATCTGAGGTATTTGCTATGTGTCTCCAATCTCCTGAGAATTCATCATTCTTCAGTTAAAAAAAATTAAGCTGGATAAATTTTTTACTTGCCATCTTTTCCCATATATCTTCCCTTTTCCCACTTGTTGTTGGGAATGGAAGGTATCACTTCATGGACTATATTTTTCCTCTTGTCTTTATAACTGGGCCCCTCTGTAATCCTGCAGTGTGGCCGGGAGAGTAAGTGGAAGATGGTCAGCCCCAGCTGCTCTTGGAAGACTTTTCATAGTGTCAGGATAGCTCATTGTTGTTGAAAACCTGGCTGAAAAGTTAGGCTGTTGCCTGGAACACCTCCAGTGGGAACAGTAGCTAATTGAGACTTCACACTTTTCCCCAACATTGAAATTGCTTGACATTCAAACTTCAAACACAAAGCCCAAGAGTATCTCCCTTTTCCTTGCACAGAAAACAAACAAAAATCCAACTTTATTTTGTGAAAATATCTTGCATTTGTATGTGGACTGCAGTGTGAACAGCCTCCTTCTTCCTCCATATAGGAGATCCAACTTTACATTGTTGTAAAATTTACATAGTTTTGCTGGTCTTGACTGTAGTTAACATCTGAGATAATTTATACGAAGGAAATTAATGTGCTATGAACAACTTTCTGCATATTATCTCATTAAAACCTCATAACAGAAAATACACTATTTCCCCAAATTCCAAGGTGAGCATATAGAAGATCCAAGATGGCCAACAAATGGACTCCAACAACCTGGCTAAGATTTGAATGAAGTCCCTGTACTGCCGTCAGGATCCTCTCATTCCCTCCTCTTGGCCTCATCCCGATGGCCCTCCCTGCTTTGCATTAATCCACAGTGAGTTCCAATTAAGAACACAATATATACTAACTTTGGGACACAGTCAGTGGGGTTAGGAACTGCAGAGGAAAGAACACAAGAAAATGTGCACACGGATCCTTCATGATCACACCTAGGAATGACATCTTAGAATATTTGTGTGGTCTAGGAGGGAGAATCACAGACCACGCTGAGCACTAGTTTGAGGCCAGTCTGTTTGTTCTTTTGCCATTTTTCTGTTTCTCATTCCATGTTGACCCCATAATGTTAACTCTCTCCTAAAAGTACTCTTTGTTTTGCTTCGTTGTCTCTAACCTTAGGACATGAATTGGGTACATTTTCTGAATTGTTGCTTCTGAAAGCAAGATTTACCTTCTCCCTTCATTTCTGTGCTTTTTTAATCAGATAATCCTTTCAAGAGTTGCTCCATGGCAGTTAATCCATGCATTATTCATCTGCTCTATCATGAGTTTAAAAAAAAATGTGTAAGAACACTTTCTGAGGAGTAGGTTAAGAAAACAAAGAAAGAAAGAAAAAGAAAGAAAGAAGAAAGGAAGGAAGAAAAAAAGAAAGAAAAGAAAGAAAGAAAGAAAGAAAGAAATTCCCCGAACAAAAGCCACTCTACCAGGCTATCATGACAAATGCTTGGTGGCGAATGTTGCGTTAGCAAAAACTGTGGGAGCAGAAGTAATAAGAAAGGCTGAATTCGTCAGCTACTCCTTGTAGCACACACCTGGGGAAGGGCTCACCTTGGTGAGCTGGACCGTGTGTGTCTAGGAGACACGTGGCAGAGGGAGACCTCAGGCTGTCAACTGCAGATGGAGGAGGTGAACCTTGAGCTCCAGCCTCGGCTCTGCCTGGATCGTTGGCGGACATCGCAGGTCATAGCCGACCAAAGAGCGCCTCCTCTGACTCCGTTGCAGCACACACTGGACCCTGGGGGCAGCAGCCATGGGACGTTTGGTGTTACACATCAGAAAGGCTTAACCCAGCTGACAGGCATGACCTGGATGCGTCCCAAGGACCACTGACACCTTTGCTTTGGAGGTGACCACCCCCATTGCTTTGGAAATGTCCTTGCCTCCTTCTGCTGGTAGGGGAATAATAATTATTTCTCATCTTATGAAAAAAAGCTGCAGCTGTCCCTCCGCCAGGGACCCTTTCTGCATATCCACAGAATACCACATGTTTTATTGCTGCTTCCCCTTCAGGATCTGTGAGGTGCTGCAGGTTTTTGAAAAATGATAATTCCCTTGTTAGTTTTACATGATCCCACTTCACTTTAAGGTGCTTGTCACATTTTCCTTTTTTTTTTTTTATTTGGTACCAGGGATTGAACTATGGGACCTTGTGCTTGTGAGGCAGGCGGCAGCACCATTGAGCTAAATCCCCAGCCCTCCTCACATTTTCTTTATCTCCTATCACATGTAGGATTTACTTTGTTTCCACTGTGGTCAAGTTTGGCTGGAGTAGCTTCTCACTATTTTTGCTTTCATTTACTTTAGGAAAATTTCTTTTTTATGCCACCTTCTTGTGTGTTTGCTGTTTTTTTAGCATCAGAGTTCAATTTATTGCTTTCTCTTTTATTACAGTTATTGCTTTTTTTTCCACATTCAATCACTTTAAATTGTTCCTTCCTATACAGCAGGAAGTAGTATTGTATTTTAAACTCCCACTTCTTATATTGGTGGTAGGATAAGTTCATTTGTCATCTTTAATTCTGTAGTAATAGAAAAGAGAGTTTTCTCTTAAAAAAAAAAACAAAACCCAAATAACCCAAGACTTCATTGCCAGCATCCTATCTGGAGTGAGTTACAAGGTAAAGCAAGGACTTATTTCCTGATCCTCCTGCTCAATTTCCTTCAGTTAGCCTTAACTTACAGTCACTGCATGAACCAAACCTTTTCTGTAACTGTGCACATTAAAACCTTCCTGTGTTAGCCAGGTGACACACACCTGTAGGCCCAGCACTTGGGAGGCCTAGGCAGGAAGATTACTGCAAGTTCAAGGCTAGCATGAGCTATATAGTGAGTTCAAGGCCAGTTTGAACTACACAGTGAGACCTTGTCTCAAAAACAAAACAAAACAAAAAAAGTGCATCCGTGGTTGCCTGAGGTAGGAGGTGGGAAGGGACTGACTACAAAAGAGTGCAAAAACTTTCTGGAATGATAAAAATGCTCTACAACTGGATGGTGGTGATGGCTGCAAACATTTGTCCAAACTCATGCACTGCACACATATAATGTACACTTCATTATAGGAAAACCATCTCAACAAGTGTGATTTAATATGTGGAACAAAATAAACAAATATCTAACACTATGCTTCCTAAAAGCATCCAGACACAAAAAGGACATACTTTATGAGTCCATTTATACCAAGTCCCAAAGTAGGCAAAACTACAGTACTAGAAAGCAGAATTAGCCGGGCATGGTGGTACACACCTATAATCCCAGCACTCAGGAGGCCGGGGCCCGTGATTTCAAGGCCAGCCTAAACTACACAGTGAGACACTGTCTCAAAACAAAACTAAGTCAGAACTGTGTCACTTTTCAGGCGAGAATGGGGATGAGAGAGACTGATTACCAGAGGAAATTTACTGGGATGATGATGTTAGTTAAATACCCTATGTCTTGATGGGACATAGTCACATGGGTGTATATAATTATAAACATTCAAACCTAAAATCTGTACTGTATATTGCATGTAAATTGTACTCCAGTTTAAGGAAATCCACACTGTTCCCCCTCCTCCAAAGCATTTTTCTGTGTCCGGTTCTGCAGCCCTTGACTTTTCCTCCTTGTGCACCGACTAAGGTTATTCCAAGTTTCACATCAGGAATAGGCCTCTTCTCGATCAGGAGAGAGAACAGGGTCTTTGAATTTGAGTCTATTACAGAAAGTTTAGAATGGAAACAGTGCCCCAAAAGCTAGGACAGGCCAACTTGTCAGGCCACAGAGAGCATTTTTTCAAATTAAATCAGAATCAGAATTACCTGTTCTTGCTGTGGCCTGAGTTTATCTCTTTCTGGAATCAGGGCTGGCTGCCTGCCTTCACATACAGCTTCTATTCCTTCTGGCTGCCCATAAGTGCAGATCCCTGCCACGACGTGCTTTCCTCAGAACTGTGCAGCTGGAGTAACGACTCCCTTCTCGCTGGCTTTATGCCCTGGAGACCACGCCCGAAGGCAGCCAACCTCTCCTGGAATCCTTTTTAACAAAACCTAACACCCAGGTTCTTATATTTCTGAAGCACAAATGGTTAGGGAGATATACAAATAAAATTGCCCACATTTCTCTGCATGTTATTACTAAACTAATGCAGTTTCATCTCTCTAAATCCCTAGATTCTCAGAAAACTACAGAAGAGCCTCTTGCTCACTGGGTAATTCTTATATCAAGCTCCTCTCCTTCTCCCCCCAAATCCTGCTGAAATGAAGCACCCCACACAAGTTCAAGAGGTTTGAACTAAGCCTGGGTTCTTAGCCAACAGGCCCGAATAGTTCAGCTTCTTGTCAAAATCAGTTGTCCTGAAAATACACCCTGTGCCTTCTGTGGAATCCCACAGTATCATTCCTTTACTTCTGGTGTTTCTGATGAATGAACTGTAACTTCTCAAACCCAGACAGGGAACTGCAGCGTAGTTATCTACTCAGAGCCATGGAGTGGGAGGGGGAAAAATTGCACTTCAGTTCCTCCCTGCAAAAGTTGCCTGAAGTCATCTGGAACTAACCACTCATTTTCCTATTCTGTCTCTGTCCCTGTCTCTTAATGACAGTAACTTTAAAATAACCAGTCAGTTCTTTGATTTTGTTTGCGCTTTCTTCACTTTGTCTCTATCTACAGAACCAGCCTTTTCTGCTTAGTCCATTGAAATACTCTATGGAATGAAGTGTTGCCCAGTTTTAGAAGAGAAAATAAAGCAATTAAAATTAAATTCCGTTGCTATAATTTTGTTCTTTGATAGTCTTGAATTGCATTTTTCCATTACAGAAATTGTTCTGTTAGCAAAAGATGAAAAAACTGTTATTGTTGTCCATTTTACTTATTGTGGCCGTGAAGAAAGACGTTATTTGGAAAATTAGTTATTATTAGGTAAAAGGAGCCGAAAACCAGGACCAGACCAGGACCATAACAAACCTTTATTATGGGGAGGGTCTGCAGGGCTGTCTTCGAACTAAGGAGAGAGCAACATGGCAGAATAGGGAGCCTCTGTTATAGGAGCGGAGCGGGGTTCGCCTGAGGTGGGGTGGAGTTGAGTGAGGTAGTATTACGGGATTGGAGGAGCCTGTGACAACACTAGGAGGGGCTTGTGACATCCCTAGCTGCTAGGAGGGAGCAAGTATCAGGTAGTACTCTTTTGGCAGGAGAAGAGGCATGATGGGAAGAAGAAGCCTGCACTTTGTTGGGAGAAGCCATATTTTAACATGGAGGCTGCTAGTCCATGTGGCAGCCATCTTAAGGCAAGGGTCTAACATTCCAGCCTTTTTGTTGTATGATTATTGGGCAAAAGGGAAATCTAAGAGTTATGTTTTATTCTATTTAAAATATATGACTTCATGAAAAGCCCCTTGTGCCTCAGGAGGCAGCAATGTATTCTGACACTGGTAGGAGCAAAACTCCTATATGAGAATAACTTAATTAAACTAATTAATTAATTAAGTTTTTGAAGTGCTAAGGATGCTACCCAGCATTTTGGCCATATTAGGCAGGCACTATGCCCTGATCCAGTCAGAATCACTTTAGAATACATTACTTCCTTCACCCTTTTCAAACCAGCAGCAATTCGTAAAACCAAACCTTTGTACAATTACAGCAGTGATACAGAGCTGATGAATGGAGGCTACACATGTTATTAGGTGTCCTTTCCAGCAGGATTATTGTAAGCCCTGGTTGTACCTTTAATGTCAATTAAAGTAGTTTTCAACAGAGAATTTAACAAATTTAAAAACAAGTTTAAAAATCAGACTGTTCTCTTAGTTCCAAATACACCTTCCTTTTCTGCTTTAGAAGAGACCTTTGTACCGTCTCTGGACTCAAGTTTGGACTTGTGTGCTGAAATTGTTTCTCAGTTAAAAACTTGTGAACACTGGTGTACTCCCGGCAGCTGCTGGCAGTTGAACAGAATCATTATTTCATTTAATCTGCTTTTCCAGATGGCTGATGGGGGAGTTCTAGCCAAACCTGGCTGGGCCGGTCCTAGCACTGGGGCTGGCAGAATTCAGAAGGCGGAAGAACTGGGAAGCCGGGTGGAACCTGCTCCAGCCACCCTGGGTGTCCTGCAAGCTGAGGCCTCACCTGGCTCTGAGCTGGGGAGACAGGGCAGTAGTCCTTACCTAGAGAAGTGGGTGCTGCTCTCTGGCCCAATACAAGCTCCCTGGGCTGCTTGCTGGATCCAGGTTCTCGGTGGGGCCAGCGGACAGTGGGGCGTTCCCGCTGGGTCAGGAGGCCACGCCCCCACTCTGCATGTGCTCATTAAGGCTCTGGGGCTTAAGATGCAGAGGAGAAAATCAGAGTTCTGTGAGTCGCTGTGTCCTGTGCTAGAACAGTTCATTCTAGCTCAAAGGAGCCACTTAAAGTAATATACCGACCCCCCTCAATATAATGGTAATAAAACAAGACCAACTGAATGCAGCGTGGATCATTTGGTGTGTTTGTAAGTAATTCCTATTAATCCCTTTCTTTCTCTGTGAACGCTTTTTTTATTCTACATATGAAGAAATCGAGGAAGAAGGAAATGTTGGTACATCCTGGCTCCGGAGCTAGGGTTTGTAATCATTTGTCTGCTGTGCTAGGGAATCCAAGCCCTTCCACACAGCAGGTAAACCCCTACCACTGAACTATCCTCTCAGCCATTGTTCTGCTTGATTTCTGTTTTTTTAACCATCGCAGATTTCTTGGCTGAAGTGGAAAAATTAAAAAATTATCTTTTTGTTTATTCATGGATAGAAGTTAAGAATCAAATGAAACCAAACCAAACCACTCTCCCTAAAGATAAACACTGCTTGAATTGAAGGGCTACTAGAAGTCAAATTGATGGACAGTTCTCCAGGTGTCTGGGTGTCTTTGGATTTTTCTCACTCACCTGACATGTTTTGTGGTCTGCCTGTAAATTTTGGAGCTGCACCCCGGGCATAGGAGTGCTTGGTTTATTGTGCAACAATGTGCTCTAGCAAATTGCCCAGTTCTCCCCAAGCAGGATGGGTGACATTTTCTGAAAGGTTGAGGAGTCATGATTTCCTCTGGGCCTTTCTATGAGATAACTTCAAATGGGATCCTGAGAAGTTTACTTCTGCCTATCTGATTTCTCACAGCCAGACTGAACAGGAGGGAAACATAAACTGACGTGTTTACAGATTAGATGACATGAGGTCCGGAAGGGATTCCCTATGACCCCGTGGTGGAGAGGGTGTGGATGAGGTCATAGATGACACGGGACTGGCTAGGTGTAGGTCAGTGTTCACCTGGGTAATGGTTCTTAGGTATGTGTTGTACTATTCTTTGGGGCTTTTTTTTTAGACAGGGTCTCACTATGTAGTTGAGACTGACCTGGAACTCACTGTGTAGCCCAGGCTGGACTTGAACTCACAGCGATCCTTCTGTGTGAGGATCCACACTGAGCCTCCTGAGTGCTGGGATTAAAGGTGTGCACCACCACGCCCGGCTGTGTTGTACTATTCTTTGGGGCTTTTTTTTTAGACAGGGTCTCACTATGTAGTTGAGACTGACCTGGAACTCACTGTGTAGCCCAGGCTGGACTTGAACTCACAGCGATCCTTCTGTGTGAGGATCCACACTGAGCCTCCTGAGTGCTGGGATTAAAGGTGTGCACCACCACGCCCGGCTGTGTTGTACTATTCTTCACTTTTGTGCATGTTTACCATTTTCCATGATAAAAAAGTGTTTGAAAAATCAACAAGATGTTATTTACTTGTTTTCTTTCTTCCTTTGTGGTGCTAGGTCTTAAACCCAGGGCTTTGTACAAGCTAGGTAACTGATCAACCACTTTGTTAAATCCCCAGCCTAGAAGTTACTTATTGGGTTTTCCCTGTCCCAGACATTGTTCTAAGTGTCTGGGACACTTGAGTGCATGGTAAACAAATCTCTCCCTTGAGGGATTTATGTTCAGATGGGCAGGAGGTATGATAAGGGTATCACCCACAGTAAACATATTAAGCTCATGAATTTTATGGTGCTAAGTGTTAAGTGCTATGGAAAAGAAAAATTGAAAACAGAAGATTCTTGAGAGGACTAAGGTCTGAGGCCAGGGCTCACTGTGTTGAGAAGGAATCTAAAGAGGAGGAAAAGTAGGAAGGGAAAGACAGCAGAAGAAAGGGTGAGCAAGAGTGTTAGGAAGGAGGGAGGAGAGGCAAGGGAGGACGGTTTATCAGGGAGGAGAGGGCTCAGCTGTGTCAATAGCTACTGGGAGGCCAAGCGTGATCAGCTCATCAGCAAAAGAGTCGAAGATCTCTTCTGTCAGCGTAGCCACACGAATGCACACAAACTGTGTTGGTTTGGGAGTGGAGAAGGGTGATCAAGCAAACAGTCTGACATGAGAGAGCTGGAACTGACTGATTTCCCTCTTTCATGCTAACACGAGCACAGAGGCTTGCTTATCCTTACATCTCCCATTTTGGCTGAATGGACGGCCTAACACAGGACTAACTATGGCTGAGTGAGCAAGTGGGAGAAATACACCGGGATACGGGCTGACACCATGACTTGCCCAGCACAGCAGCTGTTGCAGACACGCATCACTAGGACAGCTGGAGGAGAGGGCCCGGAATTCCTTTATGGCACTGACAGCCAAAGCTTGAGGACTGCATCGATTTCCATCTTCCTCGTAACCTCGACACTGGGTCACTACAGGACCAAGCATCCATGAGCCGAAACCTCTGCCAAGCCTTTGATGCCCTGCATTGTTTCTTGTACTCCTGCATTCACCCATGCAGGTGAACACATCTTACAGAGACACAGTCGCGCAAAGACAGATTTTATTTTTTTTATTTAGAAAGAATTTTTTTAAAAACAGACATGGGAGTAAGAAAGAAGTTAGTAAACATACAATATGAAATCACAAAAAGTTCATCGTAATTTTTTCAAGAAAATGAAATATCAGCTATCATGATTTTCTGTTAAACATAAAATAAATGCATTTTTGACACGAATGGCTATATCGTCACACCTAATGCTGATAATAGATGCTGGTCTTTAATGTTTCTTTTCTAAATGGAGACAGGATTACAAAGATTACAAAGAGAATACATACTCCCCAGATACTAGATCCTGGATATGCAGGGAGAAGTTGAAGTAGTCAAGGTACCACAGTGAGGGGAAGGAAATAACTGCAGCTTCAGAGTGCAGGAGACAGAGTGGTTCCAAGGCCCTGAGGCAGATAGAGCAGAGAGAAGCTGACAGGTGGGGTGGAGGAAGAGTCTTATCAAATGTGTGAGCAAAACCCCAAGCATTGCTAAGCCCAGAAGCAGAGCTGGGCAGACACCTAACAACAGCACTGCTTCTTGCACCCACACTTCTGTTGGCAACAGCCCTTCCCACAGCCACAGACACAGGAGCCACAGCCACAGGAGCCACAGGAGCCATAGCCACAACCACCACAACCTCCATAACCTCCACAGCCACAACAACCCATGGTGTCAGCCAAGAGGACTCAAGTGAGGTGAGGAGAGAGGACTCAAGAGAGGAGAGGGAGATCTGATACCTTTTACTTCATGGGCCCTTAAATCTCCTTTGGGGGCCTAATACATGGGAGCCAGCAACTTCCTGATTGTTTCCAGCAGCTTCCCAGACAGAATTCCACAAGACCCCAAGTGTATTTCCTCAAGGAATATCTCTGATCTCATAGAATTGCTTATTTTTAGCATTACTTCCTCGGGCTAGGCTTTTCATAACAACGTGTTTATAAATAGTCTTGTTTTAATCTGTGTTTCCGAGTGCATCTGTGCCCTCCCTCAGTCTTATTTGATGAAAGCACATCTCCCTTGGTCCAGGCATCAGGAGGCCTCAGCCCCTGCTGGAGATCTTGCCCTGGGTTTCAGAGGACCCTTTCCTGTTTTCAGATTCTCTCTGCCAAATGCACCAGAAGCTGGCATCCCACATGGATAGACCAACCACCAAAGCCCCTTCTCTTCTCTCCTACATTTCTGACTCTCCAATGTCAGGACGTTTTCTCATCTATTTTTCAAATTCATATTTGTCCTTGATTCACAAGTCAAAATACAGGAAAGACACCTGCTCATGTTGAGGTTCTCTCTTGGTGTGGGACACTCTATGGGCTTTGAAAGATGTACAATGATACACGTCCTATTACTGTGTCATCTAGAATAGTTTTGCTGCCCAAGAAATCCTTTGTGATCTGTCCATTCTGTAAGACTTGAATTACAAGCCTGTGCTAAATGACAAAGGGCTTAGGAGACAGTGCTCCAACCCCCTCCCATTGGAGCCATAGCTCCAACCTTTGTTCAAATCCTGGCTTAGGAATGTAAGGCAATCTTGTACTGTTTGAAGTCCGGATCCTGATTAACGTGTAAGTTAGTGGTTCTATACTATGAAATACATGGAGACCCCAAGTTAATTGTTTGCTCATCCAGAATGTCTTGGTGGCTTTTGAAACATCCTATAGGTATCTGTTAATCATCAATGTGTGACTGCCGAGTACATGACTGCTGACCACCAGCTCAAATCAGCAGACCTTTGTCCCCTGCCTGCAAGCCTAAAATGTTAACCCCCCTTTTTTAGCCCCCTATAAAAAGGACCTCAGCCCCTGAGCTGGCGTCTCTCTGAGCCAGATACTTAGTTCTGAGAGTGCCATCTGGCCAGACTAATAAAGGTCTGTTTACCATCTAGCCTGGTGTGTTCCTTCGTAGGTGACTCTTGTTCCTCTGTCTAACTCCCAGAGCCTCGTTGGGTTTTAGGACCCAGCATTGTGGAGGCCTTTTCGGCTGTTCACACTCTGTGGAGTGGAAGTAAGACTTTGAGTCTTGCAATTCTTCCTGTCCTTTTGCCAACTCCTGGAAACCATTGACCTTTTTTGTTGTTGTTGTATCTATAATTTTGCCTTTATTATAATGCATATAACTGAAATTATAACACATCTAATTTTTTCTAAAATGTAAGCTATGTGCTTGTCTAGATTTGTGATGTCAGGCCTGAAATAATCACACATTTATTGTGAGTACTACTTCATTAGGGTCGCAGTAAATATAGGAATCTTACTCTGTACGCCATGTGTAGCTTCTACTCCAAGCCGTTGAAGAAGAAATGGAACAAGTCACATATACATAACTTCACTCCCAATATTTTATCATGTTTATTTCCAGCACGGCTGTGAGGGTGTGGATCTTAAATGTCCCCAAAGGGCCATGTCTGGAGGCTTGCACCAACCTGTAGCACAGCTGGGAGGTGGTAGAACCTTAAGGATATGGGGTCTCGTGGAAGGAAATTAGGGCCCTGGGTCATGGATTTGAAGAAGACATTGAGACTCGGACTCTTTCTTCCTGGTTAACAATGCTCTGGGTAAATACCATTAGCCGTTTATGAGGCTCAAAGGACATGCTGACGGTCATATATCTGCTGGGTCTGAGCCAGTGTTCCAGTGT